TCCTTGGCTTCCACAGCGCATACATTGCGCCAGGAACATCCTAAAACTGACAACAATTCACTTGGCACACGGCGCACCTCTACCAATGCGAAAGCGTTTCCAGACAGTTTGGATGATGAATCACTTACGGTTGACCCACCTGCGCTCAGGTTGAACAAATAATCGCAAAAGTAACAATGCTCAGAATCTAAGAGCCCGATATTATTGATTTTGTGTGCACCATACTGAACTTTTCCGATTTTCAGTGAAATTACTTTCAGTAGCTACGGGAGTCCGCAATGCGCGTGTAGAAAATGGTCTCGGTTTCCGCGTCAGTTAAGGCCGCTGGCGCAATTGTCGTGCACTTTGAGGGCGCGTACCACGTCAGCGACAGGGCTATGATGACGTTGCTTTTGGAGTCATCATTTATAAGAACATCAGGTTCGAATGGCTACCCCTAATGTTGGCTGCTTTTGATTCTTGTAGTTCAGCGATTTCGTTATGTTACAGTGGTGTTGCTTTTTTGTCTTCATGCTATCGATTGCACGAGCTGCTATGCTTGATAATGTGCCCGTAGCTTATTGCTGATGATGTGCTTTATTCTCTTGATTCAGGATGCTCATCTTGTGTACAGCTCTACTTTTGGTGTTCAACTGCGCTTTAGCACAGCAGAGTTGTGATGGTATGGACTGAATATTGTGATCCATTAAATTTTGCTTAACCTTCGATTAACTATAGTCTTTTCCAGTTTGCACCAAAGTCCTCACAGATGCAATGGAAAAAGTACCCAATGACAAGAAGTCGAAGCCTGATGAGATTGGAAAAGTTATTCGACAACATTGCGAAGGTACCAAGAACAACAAGGACCATAAATTCGTTAGTATATTTTTTTCTTTTTTTTTATGAAGTTCGAAAATAAGAGTAATCTTAGTATTATAGGAAAGGCTTTGGATAACTTTCGAAATGCGCAACGTTTCAAATTCCATTTGAGTTTGTAGCTTTTTGTTTTTTTTTTCCTAAACTAGTGGACCAGCATCTAAAGGTGCTAGGAGCGGACACATTCGCTGCGAGAGCCTCGTGGTTTCCCGCTTTTGGAAGATTTTGAACTGCGCTTGTGAATCTTTATATATAAGATAAGATTAAATACTCCGCCGATCTTGTACTGCGTCTATAAAAGTAATTAATCTGAAATTTCGCTTGGCTCTAAATGTTTCATATCTGATCAGAGCAAATTCAGTAGGTTTCATAGAAGTCAATATAAAGTCAATATACCTTCAAATGCTTCCTACATCTCTACCATGCATCAATTTGTATGATTGTTTTAATTTAGTGCTTTTACATTGGCGCTCTTCCCGAATCTGCTACATCGATGATGGTGGATGTGACCAAGCCTTTGTCCTGGTCTATGCCTGCGGAAAAGGTCTGCGACAAGTTGCGCACAAAAGACGCCCAAATCTGCGAACTGAAATACGGTGAGTTCTGTTCTGTGCATTTGCAGGAAAAATCGATATCACGAGTTGTTTAATTTGCTTTTTATGGACCATCTTCTCTTGTAGTTACGCGATTCATGCTAGATGTAGATCTAAAATGACTAAGTGGTAGTGATTAGTTACCTAAAGTAGAGTTTTGTGTGAGGTTGCTTCTTCGGG